GGAAATGGACACTTAATTTCCCAACAAGCTTTGAAGTTACCTACAGATTCACAGGAAATTTGAAAAAAAATTCCTGCAATGACTGTAACCAATTTCATAACACAGGAAACAAGAAAAACAACAGCTTAAGATTCAATGTAACAAATCTACATTTTGGACGATTGTCCTAATAAAAACATGTATTTCAGATGTGATACATGACTATTGCATTATAACCAATCAGAAAGTCTGCAATCTCAAGTATGCTCACTGTTCTGGCTTTGTGAAGACCACTACTCACTTCCTCTGAAGTAAAGAGAAAGCAGGAAAAGCAATGTGTGGTGATACAGCTTTACAGCAGAAAAACAATCTTGGGCATAAATGATTTGGACTATTCACACTAATCTTAGCCTAGTAATGATTCTTTTTTCCTTTCTTTGGTCTCTTAAGTCAGGAAACAGGAGTGAGCAATGTGGAGAAAATAAGCGGGAATTGAGGAGCGAGCCATCCAACAGACAATCCCAAACGGCATGATTCAACTTCCCTCTGACTTCTCACTTCCTCTTTGGCTCGCATTGAGCTACGAGAGAAATGTGGCTCAAATTAGAGTTTCCGTTTGCTGGGGAGGCTGAGAAACAGGAAAAAGGAGGGAGGGGAGCCAGAAAGAAACAGAAGGAGGGAGAGAGAGAGAGAAAGCAGCAGCTTACAGAGTTTACACAAGCAAAATGTCTGTTAGCTCATCTCTATCTTCTTCACCTCCCACTAGAGAACTAGCAGAGCAGTCAATGAGATTCCTGCAGACGGAGCCAGGACATATCAAGGTGAGATTACGGCCTTGTTAAAAAAAAATTCAAAAAAAGTGTGTCAGTGTGGCTGTAAACCATTGACATTCCTCTGATAGCCATGAGAGGTGCATAAGATGGGAACCCGAGTCCCATCAATCATTAAGGACCCCCTTCCTCCTCTTTGCACAATGACTACAGTGTTCGACATGAGAACTCTTCAACTGTAGCTCATGATCGGCGGCAGGGGGACCCTCCCAGAACCAGGGAGCTCGCCCTGAGGGAAAAATAAAAGAAAACAGCCATCTGCGATGTCGTGAGATACTCCTGAACCGGCTGGAGAGAATGACAGTGTAATCCACTAAGATGTAGCCCACCTCAATGAGGTAAACGCTGGAAGAAAACAATGAAGCAAGATTCCGGCCTGTGTGTGAGTTTTTTGCCTGTGTGAATTCAAAGAAGGATTGCTGAGGCAATTACAGGCTTGGGCTCAGCAGCAGGCTTTTCAAAAGCATATCCACCCAGTGTCTGCAGCCGCTCACACACACTGGGACAGCCTCTCTTTGTCAGACCAAATGGGTTCACACTTAAATCTGTTGCAGCCCGCTCTGATCCTGACACTTTCATTCGGTTAGCTTGAAACAGACATTCAGACAAAGTAAAAATCTGATATATTAAGTTGAAAAAAAAAAAACGGCAAAAAAAAGACCGGACATCTTTTTCTTGAATTGTTCAAAGAAACCAAACTGCTCAGAGGAGTTCAGAGAAATACATAAATAAAAATCAGATAACTGGAAACAAAGCAAGTCAAAACAACTTTATGGAATAACTTAGGGCTAGAAAAGTTTAAAACTCACGAAAGAAATGTTTGAATAGGTTAGCCATGTCCATTTTGGGCTTGCTCTCAGTCTCGTTCGCAGTCCCTGTTCTCTTCCCACTGCAGCTGTGGAGTTATTCCATGTGAACACCCTGAGAGCTGGGCGGACTGCAGAGAAGGGCAGCCCACATGCAGGCCATGTGATCAGGGGTTAGCCAATGAGGGCACGGGTTGGAGAGGCCTCCAGTTCAGCTCTGGAAGGCAGACTGCAAGAGGCCTCAAGAAGTAGGAGAGAAAGGGTAGTAGGAGGGGGAGGGGTGAAGCTTAGACACAGAGCACAAGAGCTCCATGCTACACAAAAAGTAAGAAGGTGATTTTCTAAACATATATACAGCAGATTTAAATGAAAAGGATTCAAAAAAAAATAGAGGAATCTCTGGGGAAGCAACAGAGTGATTCAGTGAAGTCTCACATGACACCAGCTGTTTGAGAAACACTCAGAAGTTTACAACAAACCCAGGGAACATAAGGTGTTAAACAGAAACACTCCCAAACAGTAAGAGAGCCATCTCCAGACACACCATGCCCTCTAAACGATGACACAACTTCACGCCCAGCAACAAAAAGATCAACTTTTACTCCCACACAACATATCAGAGTGTGAGCCCGGAGTTGCTCCCCTTACTCGGCCATGTGTGACCCAACCTCCCACAGCACAGATTAGGAAAGAGGCATAGTTAATCATAGATTACACAATGCCAGGTATTTTTACATTTTCTTTCTGTATTACAAAAACTGTAGACCGACAAAGATTATTATTTAAAGTGAAGAAAAACGATACAACCAAAAATCTGAAAATGTGGATTGCATTTCAGACATCCTTTTAAAGTTTAATACCCCTAATCTGAAAAGGCGAAACAGCAAATCGAGCCTTACGGCCCAACCACAGGATAACGTGACTCTCATTGTTTCCAAATGTTTTGTGTTTGTGTTTACTGGGACATGATCTGCATTGCATTAATGTAAAGTTTCATTCTGGAGGCAGTTGTCGAACTCTTGCGATTTTGTCAATATCAACAAAAAGAAGAAAAAAAACGAAACATTTATGTTTTACTGTTCTGGCATTGTCATGTACATGGGGCCTCAGTCATGCAGTCCAAAAGTCTGGGGTTCACAGAGTGACAGCAAAATTAAATTAATGAGAAATTCTGGTGCTACTCTTGACAGTTTACCAGGGTTTGAGATATTTTGCAAAGAAAAATGGACAAAACTTTCAGCATCTGGATGTGCAAAGCAGGTAGAGAAATACCACAACAGACAAGGAGCTGTTATTGTGGTGGAAAATGACTCCACAAAACAATGACTCAGATATGAACATACATTCAGACGTATGAACTAATGGGACAATAATGTGTTGCTCCATTAGATATCATCTCAATAAAATACATTTAAGTTTATGGCTGTGCGGGGTGTGAAAAGCCCCTTCTATGATTATGTTGGTGTTAAAACAAGATTGCTGCAACTTTGTGTTTTATTTCGAGTGTACGGTAAGTTAGACATAACTTGTGTTTGTGCCAGCCAGGCAGCTGTTCTTAAAAATGTAAAGATCGAATATGGTGACAGCTGGGATGTTGTTAAGAGGCCATGGGCTTTTGTTTATGGCAGCATAACCTCCTACACAAACGCATGCGCGCGCACACACACACACACACACGAGCACCACAGAGGAAAAATATCATGGCATATAAATCTCTAGACACCTCTGAGTAACGCATGAGGGACAGACTTGACCTACAGTTCATCCAACAGTCGTAGAAAATCTTCGCTCAAATCATTGGGTTGAATTATTTAAAAACATTTCAATTCCTCTTTCACCCACACTTTTCAAAAATATTATCACACTCTACCCACAACTGCTGTGCACACACCCAGACACAAACACAAGAGAAAACGGGAAGTTGCAGTCCAACAGATAAGTGTTTTGCAAACACTGGTGAATGTGTGATAATTGTGAAATTATGACACATGACAAGGAGCACCCAAAACCGCAGTTTTTTTTTTTTTCCATTTTTAACATTTTCACCATTTGTTTATATAAAAAACTAACTTGGAGCTACAGTATGATCATTTGCATCGACTGGCAATAGCTTCTTCGGCACACATCATTTTCACGCCACATCAACGAGTAACGGACTTGTAGGCAACTTTGTTGTCAGCTTACAATCGAAAAGTAATTTGTCTTTTTTTAATAGTCAACTAAAAAAAGACAGATAAAGCTTGTTGATGGAGTTGATGGTGTGTAAAGAATCACCAACCAAATTGCATTCTACAATAATACATGAGAAATAATAATATTTGGCAGATCTAATGCCAGGACTGACAGTGATTCAAAATACATCACAGAGAAGAAGAACTCAGTTAAGACAAACTATAACTTTCTCATTTATGCTTGGCTTCAGCTTATAAAAATTCTCTACTTTTAAATCAAATTGCACACTTGTGAGTTTAGTTTTGTAACCTTGTGAAATAAAATGGCTGAGAATGCATGTTTTGTGTCAATAAATGTGCAGGTAAATATAAAATCAATGCTTTGCTAATGTTGTGCTTGTAAAACAGAATGTAGTTATTAATAAATTGTCACCTTGTAAACCAAATAGACAATTTCACCTCTGTGGATCCATAAACAAAGATTTGGGTTGGTAAAGAATAACGACATCTACACATGCACAAAGCAGAAATTCTCAGTCATTTTACTTTTTCACAACTATGCAGTTTGATTTACGAGTACAAAATATTTATGTAAAATGTATCCCCATATTGGTTTTACATGGTTTGCAGCAGCTGGCAATATCTACAAATTGAACTATTTTGCTAAAGGAAAGGCAAGAAAACCAAAACCAATTTATACTTGTTACAAAGCCGGAAAGATAAAAATATCTATAACTCCCTTACCTGAGTAAATACGTCAAAGTTGCACTTAAAACCTTTAATGTCAGCAAGACGATCAAAAGCAGAAGTCCAATTCTAGGTGTGTGCAAACAATAACCTGAGAATACTGTGTCTGCACTCTGAACAAACACTCTCACTGTGGTGAATAACATGCAACAGGTTATATGGCACAGTTGTGGTGAAAAACGATATGAAAGTTGCCCTAGATAATGCTTTTGAAGCAACGCTGTTTCAGTTAATAATTAAAAGAAAAACTACATGTGAGAGAGGAACCCCATCAAGATGCTGAAGATATGTAAATATTTAGAAAAGTATCATCTATGCAGCTTAACTGGAATATTATGAGCTCGTCAAAAAAATAAATAAGCTGAAAGGGAATTCAAACCAGCATGCTTTCTCAAAATTACTGAGAACCAACCTACTGTAGAAATAAACAAAAGCGAAACCAAAAGGAAAAAAGTAAATTCTCTTACCGAGTGTGTCTTTGAGATTCTTGACAATTGAAGCTTTCCTAGCGCTGTTTTTTCTCTCTACATAGTTGGATGGGACGAAGCCAGTTTTGTTGGTGGCATTCCGGACCCTCCACCAGGACTTGGAATCGTCCAGCAGCCAGAGACGCTCGTTCTTCTTGATGTCCAGCTCCTGGTCCTGCTGGGCCATGTAGTCAAACTTGGCGATGACAATCACCTCTTCAGTCATCTTGACCTAGTGAGACTGATGCATCACAAAACTGTTTAACAAAAAAAACATGGTCGTCATAGTTTTCTTTAAACTTTCTCTAAGTTTTAAGTCTTTAAGATTCAAAAGACATGAATGCATTGCATCTATTTAACTACCTAATATTTATTGCATATTAGGCGGCCACTTTAAAATAAATACTAATAATAATTTATGTTATGAGATTGGCTGCCAAAACTGTATTTTACACAGTGAACATAATGTTGCAGATCAGACAGATCTGGATTTTCCCAACAATCTGTTTGTACCCTTAATAATCTGAAAGCTGAACCACAGACTGCTGCAGCTTTCAGTCTATCCTGTGATCTCTTCTGCTGTGTTCTGACATCCTCAGCTGTTCTCAGAGAGCTGCACTGAGAGCAATTGAAACAGTCGCTAAAAATGATGACATTCAAAGTACAGTATGATATTTCAAGGGCAGAATTTTTTTTCTGAAGTTTTGTATGGAAATGACAAACAAAAACTGCAATGTAATATTTTAGTAACCAAGCTAATACAGTAGTAAACCCAGTAAGTATGATGACATTAGCTTTGCCCTGAGTATTAAAACATCTGCACCAGATATTTCTTTGGAAAGGAAGTTACCCACTTTAAAACCTATGGATGACTTTCCTAACCAAGTCAACCCTGTGTTGGAGCTGAGGAGATAAACTTAATGAAAAACTACAGACAGGACAACATCTCTGTTGCTCTAAACTTTAAGAAAAATTAAGGACACAGCAGGATCCTGATCATAATTGGTAAATAAGTGGTTGACAATCCTAATCATCATTATCATGATAGGACACTGGTGAGATCTAGTGTTTAATTTTTTTGCATGGCACTGACTTCAGAGAATTGACCTAGAACTAGTTCCTATATGTTATTCGTACATGTATTACAGACTGTTGCAGTCAACAAAAAAATGGAAGGAAAGGAAACTAGGTAACAAAGAAGAAAAAAGGGAGTTAGAACGACGGAAGATAAGAAAGAACAGGAGGAAAGGGAAGCATAAGAAAGAAGATAAAAGAAGGAACAATAAAGGCAGAAAGAGGACAAGAGGAATTAAGAAAAGGAGAAAACGGACACAAGGAACTAAAGAGGTAGGAAACAAGGAAGAAACTAAGATCGGGAGAGAGGAAGGGAGGACAAAATGGAGGAAAGATGGACAAAAAGAAAAAAGGCAACATTTAGACAAGAATGATAAGAAAAAGAGTCTGAATAAGCCTTTTTGGTTTCACACTTCAGCACACCTGGAAAATACTGAAATCATATTCCAGACTTTTCTAAACTGTTTTGGAACAGTGGTTAAACTTCTCTGATATGTATCTGAGATTTAAAATCTTGATCAAAATATCAATAACTGATAAGTGTTAAGACAAATGAAAAGGAGTATGTTTGGAGACTGAAGCTGGACAACCATACCTGTTCTGCATCAAAGCTGAGAACAAGCCGTTCTGATACTTCTGCTGACCTAGAACAAGAACAGAAACGATACAATGAAATTACAAATGAACTTCTCAAACTTTTTTGTTTGAAATACGTAATTATGTGCTACACTCTTATACAAGCAGGTTTCAAATGACATAATAGCATCTCTTGCAGTAAACCTATGTCAAGATGGTGTGAACCAGGGTTATCCAAGTATACCACAACAACCCGGCAGAAATTCCAGCACCCATTTCCACAGTTTAGTCTTGTAGAGCAGAATTTCCCTCCACCAATTGTATTATTGAAATAACAGACAAATTGCTTTGATACTCAATTGTTAAAGCCAAGAGCTGTCAGAGTCTTCAGAATTACACAGGGGACGATTTCCTTTGACGAGCTGACAAAATATTGCCTTTCTTTGCCTGCCGTCAACTTACATCAACAGGGTGGTAAAGATTACTGTAATGGTGCAACTGGAATCTCTTTCTGTGCCGTGATGATGAAGGGAATTGTTTTAAATTTAGATATGACCCAGATAGGTTCACATATGCAAACCGCAATGCCAGTATGAGCTGAATTATTAAATACACAGGGCTCTATTATCCACAGTCCTCCTTAGCTTCCCTCAACACATCTAAAATTATGATTTTGGAGGACTGAGAACCACTGTGAAAGTTTGTTCATGTTGAACAATGCGCACATTCACAACATCCAGTCTTATGACCTGAACAGCCACAAGCAGAGATAAGCTACGCTTAGTTTAACATTGCAGATCCTTGGGTCAGCTATGGTGGGGAGCAAGGCCTGCCTGAAGTGGCTGCTCTGATGTCATGAGAGTGGATGAAGTTTCATCTCTCCCCCACCCCAAGTGAGTACAGGGAACAGACACTGACTTTATTGAATGAGAGAGGCTCTTGAATTTATTTGAAGCAGCAGTGCTGTCTAGGTTTCAGCCACAGCTGGCCTTGAGATGGGCGTATAACCTGATCTTGGGCAAACAAGAGTGGAGGTTAGCGAAGCAGACTTCCAGCATGGTTAACCAAGACATGAATAAGATATCGATCAGATTTAAATCAGCTCATACTGACAGAAAACAAATAATAAACAATCAGGGGGAGGTGGGTTACTTAATGTACCATAGAGCAATTGGGTGTACACTGTGGTTAAATCTTAAGGCATGTTATTGCCTGCTTCTTTTCCATTAATTACATTAGTGAACACTGCGAGAAATGCAAGGGAGCGGCACACAAAAACAAAGAGCTGACTTACTCTCCTCGAGTGCCTCATTCACTCAGACAAAAGGCAACAATCTCTTCACTCCCTGGGCTGGACAAAGTAGCTGTGTGTGCGCTCCGTCTGCCTTCATAACCCTCCGTAATTTTAATTTGTCCACTTCATGCTTTTTTTTTTTTTTTTAATCATGTAATGCTAGTACCATCAGTACTCCATTTATTGCCTATCTCACATTTCCGGTTGAATCTTGCATCTATTCTTTTAGCATCCATCTAAAAGGCTGAGTGTAAAAATCCATGTTAATTCTTCAGTGACTCTTAGAGTAGATATGAGGATCAGAAACGGTGGGTGACAGATGCTCTGAGATAATCACGCAGCTGCAGACTGAGCAGAGACCAGTCGCCATGCAGAAGCACTAAACACCAGGTCAGACAGGTCAAACTGCTCATATGGTGGCACTACGGATATTCATTTACACTGATCCCAACCAACAGCATATGTATCATCTCATTCAGAGTGTGGTAGTTCTGAATTGGTGCTTAAAGCTCTTTGCTCTCTAGATTTAACTAAAGACTTTCTCTGTGAGACGCACCATGAAACTGGTTTGTGATTGGAGTTGGCCAATTTTCAGCAGAAAAAAATTCATTCTCAATTCATTCATTTGAATGAATGAATAAAACCTACACTACGAGCACATGAAAATGACAAAACTCATCAGTGTGGAAGTTTTTATGTATTTCTATCAGTAAGGTGTTTTGAAGTAAAGGAAAGTATAAAAGGCTGAAGAAGTCCTTCAAAGGAATCCATTTTCCCCAACACATCACAACATGTCAAGACATGTCTGCCATGCATTTAGGCTGCTACTTTAAGAGACAGCAAGATGTTAGCAGATAGCTGAATGTGTGACATCAAAGTTGCTCTTTTTTAACCTTTGAGTTTTAACTTTGGTCCATCAACTTGGGATAACTCCTGGTATAAATGTATGCCAAGTTATCATTCCATAACCAGTGAGAGTTTCACTCAGATGACTCTAATGCCAGAGAAACTGTTGGAATTACAAGATTTTCTCCAGCTCTGTAGAGTATTAAGAAAGCACCACAGTCTTTCTCCTAGCTGTTGCTGCACACTGTTGGCCAACTGGCTGACAGAAGTCACTTTTACTTTTTCCACCCCACTTACAGGGCAAATCAAGTCTTCAAAAATAGACTCATTCATGGTAGGAAAACTGAAGGAACTTCGCCCACAACTCAAATTATTTTAACATTGTTTCAAGCAACATTTGTTAGGCTGAGTGGCCAGTTTGCTAAGCAGGTGACTACAGGCTGGATACTGTGGCAGAAAACTGACCAACTTTCAAGGTAAAATCAGCTTAATACTCCCAGATTTGCTTTATAAAGAGAGCTGTTACCTTGAATAAATACTTTCTGTACAAAGTTTTGTCTCTGTGCATGCTTGGGTTATCCGGGTTCCTCCCACTAGTCAAAATCATGCCAGTAAAATTACCTCTCTATATTGCTCTGACTTATCCAGCAAGTGAAGGAGTTGGCTTACTCTTTAGTAACTTTTATTAGCTATCATTATCAATTTTGTCCTTAAAAGCGATATTTTTTTTATTTATAATTCTTTTACATTAGAGGATAATTTGGTTCTAAATTTGTGATATGCAAAAAATGTGAATGATTTTATTACAAAAGAGCTAGTGTGTGTAGCTCTTTTCCAACAAGAAATTAAGATTTCTTGTTGGATTAAGAAACAACTTTGGAATTGAAAAATTTGATGATGTGTTGAATTAAAAGGGGGGGAAAAACTGGGTCAAAAAATAAAATATTTGACCATTTTTGAATTTGTATCCAAATTAAACCAAGAGCAGAAATGCCAGCAACAACTTCAGCAAGCATTTGTCTTCTTGGTGCTAACCACTAACACTTCTCTGAGGTAAAATATAACCAAGGGTGATTTCAGTTCATCTGGTAGGAGAAAATTAAAGTTCAGAGCAAATCTGTTTTAATTTAAGTCATTATGCAGGGCATTAAATTGGGCATGGGATGAGCTTTCAATGTGTTACTTAAGACTTTATATCCATGAACTATTCTAGAAACAAAAACAAATAAAGCAAAATGTTTTACACATGTAGACCAGAATAGAACGTATGGGTAACCACTTTCTATATTTTGATTGTAAGGGGTTAAATGCTCAGTCAGTGAATGACATAGAACATAATTACAGAACAATTGAGCCTGTCTCTACAATGCAAATGGACACAGTTTTGTAAACTATGAGGAAACAAACCATGTCTTATCTGTGAAATAAGCCGAACCAAGGATTAATGACAGTTCAACAAGTGATCCTCTCATGTTCACACTTCAAGCACCAATAACTTGTCTCACATTCATCTAATACTAAAAAAAAGTACTACAATAATTTGTAATACAAAGTATGATACATTCTATTTATAATACTAATAAACACAAAGTATTTATTAGTATTAAATAAATACCATTCCTCGTTTTAGAAACAAGGATCAGCCTGTAGATACAATTTTGTGAAGATGTTATTAAAAAAAAGTCTTTACAATGAAATCTCGACAGTTTATTTAAAAACCACAAATACTTTGTGTCAATAGTAAAAAGCAGATGCAGGGTGCAATCTTGTGAATTCTCTTCTTATGGTGAAACACCAGTGACATAAATTCACCACATCCTGTACACTACAGCTGCTGCGAAAACCTCTGCTGTGTGTTTCAGCAGACGGAGTCAAAGAGCACACCTAGCGGTCAGTTTTAGCCACAATCCTGCTGGTACACATAGAAGAGATGTCAAACTGGCTTTAGACGGTTTTAGGTAAAGTCAATTTACATCAGATATTTAAAGTTTAGTAGCCAGGTAGAGGTGAATGAACATATGTCATAGTTCTCCTCGCACTGGGAGCAAACTGTTTGCTGCTGCTCAGGAGGATTCCTGCGGCACTGAGACAGCAACGGCATGAGCTCACAGAAGCAGACAGGGTAACCTAATCCCTGTGACAGCCCGCTAAAATCACAGAGCTGTGCTGCCTTCAGGAATGTGCTCTATGAGTTCACTGCTAACTCAGCCCCCTCTGGCGCTGCAGCGCTTCCTCCAGCACGCACCAAAAGTTGCATATTAGCCACCGGGACCAGCCTGTTTCACAAAGCGACAGGCAGAGGACAGCAATGGACCAATAAACACAAGCTTGGGTTTGCTTTTTCTTTTCTTTTCTTTTTTTTCTTTTTTCCACCCTGCAGTGCATCAGTTTAAAGCTCATGAGACTGAAGCTCATCCCGGCGGTCCTGCATTCTCTCAAAACAAAACAGCAGCACCACAGCAAAGGGTCATGGGAGACTTGGCAGGCCAGCTGTGAGACAGGAAGTGTGGACACAAGAGTGACCGGATGATGGGAAAGTGATGCTATCTGACAGAGCGTGGACTTGACCCCTAGACTGAGAGTAGTAAAGATAGCGTATCTTTGAATCAATGTGCGTAATATAACTTGTTAAGGAGATGAAAGTGTTAACTTAAACACCAGTGGTTACTGAGAGAAGAAATTCCTCATTGGAAAACTGTCCTGATTTGGGATCCCACTGAAATTTAATAAGAGGGAACTGATGGCAATACCGCCGTGATTGTTTGAATGAAGTCGGTTATTCACCCCTGGGGATCTCCCTTAGCAGTTGGCAATATCCTAAAATAGATTGTGGCTCGTGTCCTTTGAGAATAGACAGATTTACTCTCACAGCAACAACCAACAGCAAAAGTTTTTAGTTTTCTGTCGGAACCACTTCACATCAACGGG